TTTAGCGGAGGCCCTTGATGCGGTGGGAAGGGAGAGGGTGTTAACGGCCGAGGGCGACCTGCCGCCCGGGGCCATCCGCCTTTCCTCTCCTGCCCTGCCCTGCCCAGGAGTGCTTTAGGAACAACGGCATCACCGGCCGCCGCCTCATCTTCGTGGGCTGCTCCAACCTGCCGGCCATGGGCGTCACGGACTTCGGGCACATGCAGGTGCGGCCGGGCTGCGGAGCCGGCAGCTCCCTCCTCACCCCCCGGAGCCCAGCTCTGACCCCTTCTGCTTGCAGGACAGCTAGACCATAGCCTGTCCCCCCAGGCAGATCGTTTACTCAGAGAGTCAGCCTGAAACTAGACAGCCAGATTTCCTCAGCTAAACGACTATGCTTCACGAGTCCTTTCCGTTCTGAACGCTAAGCTGTCTGGACGTTGCAGGCTTCCTCTCCAGCACCCTCTATCAGAAGCATTTAGTCTTTTTTTTTGGCCTATGATGCGCCTCTTGCCACACCAAATTGCTCAGCAGGATGCATGTGGCTTTCTTAGGTTCTCCCTCAGGTTTTATTCTCAGTAATTTTCCACTTGCTGACCTCTTTGATATAATCTGTAGAATTTATAAAAAAACCAGTGAGCTCTAACCTGCAACAATTGAACCACAGATCCCAAGCAACAGAAAGGCAACTGATTATTACTTCCTTGTTTTATACTCTGCTGAACACAAACACCATCTTATGCTACTTCCCCATTTTATAAACATGCAGTTTTCCTGTAGACCTTTCAGACCTTCATTTTGTCTTTAATGCATGCAGATAGTTATGCCAACTGGACTGAAGTTCAGGGTTACAGTATGGTCTTCAAAAGTTTCCTGAAGGTTCAGAAACCTCGCATTTGAAACATATGTAATATATTTGTATATATGTAATGTTTATACTCATTTAGGTTTAACTAGAACCATGATGACAGAGAGTGACTTGATCTTTTGTTGCCTCACGGGGGGATGCCAATAGGAGACACAAAAAAACCTCAGTGTTTGAAATGCAACAGACTTGATTCTTCATTAAATCACACTGCTCTTGTACAACATACTGCAATTCTACTAAAATGAGAAGTATAGTGGTATAAGATATTAGAGATGGGTGCAGAGAGGTTTGGATCAACATCTGTGGTTAAGGACCCACTAAAACTTCTAGCTTTTGTGATTATTAAATTTTAGTTTACTTTTCATTATAGCTCTGAACCTCACCCTAAGCAGCTTTTAGCCAAAGGAGACCTCTATTTTTAGAAGAGACTTTATACATGACTAAACTGTGGAAGCAGCACAGATGTGGCCTATGTTTTACAGAGTGCAAAATAGAGAGAATAATAATAATTTGTCTTTCTCTTCCTTGGGATCTGTTGTTTGGTTGTTATGAGTTACAGTTACCCATACCCTTAAAATCAGCAAACAAGCAGAAACTTAATGGAGATGAGTGTTGAGGAAGAGTGATCTAACAATTAACACATGCCCTGTTAAGCAGTAGAGATTCATAAATACAGAGGCGTAGACTTAGTTGAACCGTTCCAAGAGAGATGTTTCACAGTCCTTAATCATGCAGGCATGGCTCCACTATCTGAGCAAGGGCACCTTTCATCTACTGTTGACTGTGATTTTGGTTGCCCTAATGTCATGCTTAATGCTTACTGTTAAATGCATTCTCCGCTTTGGCAGACGAATAGTAGTCTGATCTTTTGTAAAGTCAAAAGGGCTGAACCGTGAGTCCCAGCAAGGGGTAACATAGGTCTTTACCGCTGCAGAAGCATACTTACATATAAAAAAAGTCTTAAAACCCCAAATGCAAAAAGAAATCTCGTCAAAACTACTTTACATTGATTTAAATTATTGATGTAGGAAGCCCTATCAGAGGTGCAGAAAGTCGGCTAATACAGAAGGATGCGAAGGAGATCTCATTTGGGGTCAACAGGAACTAGATTTTAATAGACGCCTCAGCTCAAGGCAGGTACACATATACCTAATGATCAGAGCCTCCTGAGCCTACATGGATTAGCCTGTATGCACAGACCTGGAATGAGACTCACCAAAGAAGATGTTTGAGCCCAGACCAGAAGAGCTTAGATTGGAACAACAGAGTGACTGTAATAAGTGTCAGCATCCCAGTGAGGTCCACATAATTCTAAGAAAATAGGCGTGAAGAGAAAAACACTAACTCAAAATCACGTAGCAGAACTAAGACAAGCCTAGGTGGAAATAAAACCCAGGTACCATCTCTTTCCTGTCGTTGCAGGGCCATCTTTTCTTCCTCCTTTTCAGTATCTGGCTGAGCAATTAACGCTGGCTTCACAAAAACATGCAAGCAGTCCCAAAAGGGAAAATGTAATGGAAAGTTAAACTGATGAAACAGGTCCAAAATACTTACAGATGTTTCCTAAAACAGCAAAGCCCTTTACAGAGTAAAGAAACGATTATTTTGGCTCATAGATGGGAAAAGTCATCTGTTTTTAAAGGAAAGCTGATGTTTATTTTTTTCAGGGCTGCTCACTGTAGTTTTTTTTACCTAATTCATTGACTAGAAAGCCACAGAGAGTGCTTGGACTTGGCGGAATTCTAGTTTTCCCATTGGATTTCTGTGATCCTAGAAAAGTTCTTTAGGCCAAATTCTTGACATCTATCTTACGTTGTTATGAGTTTAAATTCAGTATTAGCCATTTTGATGTCATTAGCCTGATTTCCACAAATGAACATGTGTGGATTGTGTATTCATACATATGATAGGGAGACTTAGGATCTCGGAATCTTCTTGCATAAAATGGCTCACTGAAATATGAAATTTAGAAAAAAAATTTTCACACTTCTATTTGCAGCCATTTCCCCCACCTGTAAAATGGGGGAGTTCCTCCACACCAAGACTAAAAGGGGTAATTACCAAATTATTTTGAGAAAGCAATTTGATTCTGCTAGAACTGAGTTTTCGATCCCATTCTTTATCGGAGCAAGTTCACTTACATTTCGTCGCTCTCCTTCGCCTCTGTAATGGAAACCACAGAGGGACTGCTTTTACAGAGGTAAAATCATTTGTTTTACATAATCATTTACAGGGGCTTTCCCCAGAGGATACAAGGTAGAAGTTCAAATAACCAGCGAGAGATAATATCTTTATGCTCCAGTAGCTAGAGTATGAATGCTGTTTTTTTCTATTCTACAGCACCAAAAAACAATTTAACCACTAAGTTTCTGCCTGGCTGAGCAATCTTTAACCCTTTTAAATGAGAGATACGACAAAAAAATGTTCATTAATGTCAAGAATTTGCCTGTTGGTCAGAGGAGAAGGCATCAAATTGCAATACCTAGTTTCTCAGAGAGCAAGAATACAAGCAGCACTTTTTAGTGCAAGCAGGTACAGCTGACCTTTACAGTCAGTCATTTGTGTTTGCCAGCATCTTACTCACTTTTTAAGCTTCATCCTCAGAGTGGAATATAGGGATTATATATGGTGGTAATATATATACAATTAATATATGGCGGTAGTTTAACGACTGAGAAACACAAAGCTCCAGGTTAGAGAAATCATCTGGAAAACTCTCCTTCCTCCAGTAGAGACTAAAGGAGAAATTTCTCAGGGCTAGGATAAACCACAGCTGGCATACTCCAGCAAACCTGGAAATGAGACTGTCTCTCTAAGGTTTCCAGAAGCTTGTAAGTGAATTGGGAACATCTCATAGACTTCAGTGGAAACTAGATGTTCCTGAAGATCATGCCCTAACCCACTATGTACTTGCTTTTTCTAACTCCACACGGTCTAAAGTCAGCTCTCATAGACTCCAAGTTTGCAAAAGTCAGGGCAGAATGTGGCCACCTGGCTCTTTCAGTAAGAGCCTACTAGGGCAGGTACAAAGGTAAGGCCATAGTATTGTGCGTATGGGCACACTGAGTTCAAAAAAAGAAATATCAACAAAAGCCTGTAAACAGCCAAAACCCAATAGTTACTATAGAAATTGATGTGATAGCATCAGTTCAGTGAGATGGAAATATTTTGCAATTTAAGGAAATCAACATTTTGTTAGAGAAGCCTTACTGATTGGATTTGGTGGAAGCTTCTTGGCATGGACAAAGAAAGTTACTACTGGTTTTAATTCTGCTGTACTGCTGTTTTAAATGATCTCAAAAGCACCCAAGGTACCAGCCCAACCCCAAAGTAGGGTACCGGTCTGTACTAATCGGAGGTTGGGGGAGGGTTTTGAGCGAATGCTGTGAAAGACCAGTGGAACCTTGTGACCTATATTTCAAAGTCTCAGTCAACTCACGAGGTTATAGTCTCAAAAGTGACTTCAAAGATAACGGCAAGGCTCTGTTCAGTGAGAGTTCTGGGTCCAGCTGGCTCAAACACCAAGTCACCCATAACTTTCTTAATGAGCAATATGGTTATTGGTTTGATTAGTCTTTCTACCTCTTCTGTCAATAGAATCTGGTTTTGACAATATAATTTAGCAAGCAGTGGTGATGTTTTTGCACTAGTCAGGGCAGAATCCAGCTCGTTCACCCATAACTAGTTTGTTCTGCAAGTGCAAACAGGAAAGCAAAGCTATTTGTGCCACTAAAGGGAGCAGCTGTGATGCCATCACCCAGAGTAAATCTGGAGAACGAGCTGTCTGCTCTGCTTTTGCAGTTTCACACAGGACCTGGGAGTTCAGAACCCTCTTGAGTTGGAACTTCAACTGTGAAAACATTTTGAAATTTAGAAATTCAGTTCCTTTGTCTGCTGCTCTGGCACAGAAAGAATGGTGTTAGCTGTTGCCTTGTGCAATGAGAATTTCAGATATTTTGTCTTATATTTCAGGAGATTTCACGACATGTGCGAGAGTTGCTGGGGATTGAGGAACCTCTCTTCAGCAGATCCATTGCCCTCCCATACAGAGACAACATGGGTCTCTTCCTGGAGCGGAAGTCCCAATCAGGAGAGAAAGCAGATGCCCTCACTTTTTCGCAGTTTATCCAAGAAGCAGGGCTGGAGCCCTATGCTCCAGTTCCCCCTTTGGAGCAAGTCCAGACTGGGGTAGAAGCAGATACTCTCCCAGTATCGCAGAGCATCCAGAGTCAGGATTAGAGCCTTACAGTGTAGTTCCATCTCTGTAAAAAGCCCAGCTGGGACAGCTATAGATACCCTTATTACCTTGCAGTTTGTCCAAGCTGGTACAGTTCCACTTTCTCTAGGTTAAAGAAAAGACCATTGCTGCTCTTAGCCATTTGTTGGTAGCAAACACATCCCTATATTGGCTCTTTTCTGCAATCATCGTCTTTAGTTTGCTTCTAGGAATTTAGTGGAGCAGAAGCTATAAATCAGGCATGATTGCACCACTGTCTATCATTCTCTACTGCTTCACAGTTGATTAAAAAGACCAAAAGACCATCACAGACATATTTTAATTACCAGTGTTTGATATATCGATTATTTTCCTACAGCTCAAGTGAACAGAATTCTCCCACGCTTTCACATTTGCAGACCTGGTTAATGTTAAACCCAGATGAAAGATAAATGGCATATACAATAACATAATGGCATATACAATGGTATACATTTGTGGTGCCTGATGCTGACAGTGCTCTGAAAGGTTTTAATTACAACATAAATAATGAACCCATGTCCTCTCAACGGAAATGATTAGCTGTGAGGTAAGACCAGGCAGCAGTTTATTGTAGTAAACAGTACTGAAACACATGATAGATGAAGGCAGGAAGTATAAGAGAATACTGTAAGCTGAACTAGAGAATTAGAGAAATGATTTGTCCTGGGTGGATTTGGACCCAGCTAACTCCGCTTTCCTTGAAAGAAGTATCACATATATGGACTGTAGTGGTAGTGCAACTTTAATTTTATAACCTATCCAAAGTGTGTACCATCCTCAGCAAGGAAGTATGGATAAGTGTTCATTTAAGCCGGGCTCAACAGGAAAAATGCTCCTGAGTAAATCGTCACTACTTTGTGTGGCAGCAAAGACTTCCTTGAGATCCCCCATGGGAAAAAAAAATGACTAGGCCCAATCCTGTTTAGTTATTTAGGGCAAAGCTGTAGCCACTACAACGTAACTGTAGTTCAATTTCCTGTTCAAACTGCAACAGAAACCCAGTGGGGTTGAGTCAGGTAATAGGCTAAGACTTTGTAATGATTCAACTTTGCATCATGACTTTTTCATAAGCAATTTGAGACGGAAATAAAGCAAGACTCAGGCAGCCGGGGCAAGCAGATTTGCTGGGTAGTCTAGTGTGTGAAACCTGTAGAAGCAACCATGTACATAAGGTTATTGGCTTGGACGTTTTAAAGCGTTCAGGAGCAAATAGTGCTGATTCTCACATTCCTCAGACCAGTCTGAGGCAACAAGTCATTACCTTATTCCACAGCTGTTTAGCAAGAACCTGGCTCACTGGCAAAGTGATCCTTAGCGATTTGTTAACAACCAGGCCTAGGCTTCACGTGCACAGAGAGATGGCTCAGGCCTCAAAACGTGAAAGTCAGAGATCTCAGTGCTTGTTGCATTAGTAACAGGGTTGCTGCTTTTATGCTCGGCAAGGCTGAAGATTGATGCAAAATGGTGTTTCGGAACAGAACAGTGAAAACACTGTGTAATTCCACTATCTAATCTTTCATCTACCTCCATCAGTGGTTTATGTTATGATGGAGCAATGGTTAAATAAATATTTATTAGGTGTTTGGCATTATTTTTACCTCTGCAAGATGAAGTCCTCATAGTGTGTTCTTTCACCACATACAACGGCATGAAACTAGCAGAGGAAACTGATGGAAAAGGGCTATCAGTATCTCCGGGTTATTGTCCCTTTGGGATGGGATCTCAGCAAAGCATTCTGCCATGGGCTCCGTTTATAGTTTATGTTGCTCTGTAGACCAGTCTCCAAAGGATTCCTGGTATAGTAAAGCGAGATGGCTCCACACAGACTCACTGTTTTCTAGCAGCTGGCTAAAGGGAGACTCTCTCAGTTGTGCAGCTGTCAGGTCAAACCAGGGGAAGGTTCTGGGAAGAGAAAACAAGCTGAATCATTTATGGGAAATGACAGCCCGCACCAGCTAATAATTTAACAAATAATGGTTTTCTTTTATCTCTGATTGCTCCTCTCTTTCTCAGGCCTTTGAGAGACAATTAGGCTCAGAGATTTGAATCTAAAGTGTTAGAGGCAATCTAAAGTGTTCCAGGCATTCAAAGCTAGAACTGCCATGCAGAGCAAAACTGAGTGTAACAGCTCAAAAACTATCAGGCACAAGTAAGAGCCTTTTCTGTCAGCTAGTGTACCTTCAACCTTACATCCTAAACAGTCTAGTCCATGAACTACCATAAATCCATTACCTGCAAGAACAGTCCTCTCCAGATATTCCTATAGGATTTCTTTTCTGCATCCCATGCTACGGAGCCCCAGGCCAGACCAGTGGCTTCAGACAATCCTTACAAGTAGCCAAATAGGAACTATGGATGAAACAGCTCAGAGATGGAAGTCCAAATCTTCTGTTGCTAATGTAACGTCTAGGGCAATTTTTCACAGAAGGTATATGAAAGCAACACCCGTCCAGTGCCTTCCAGCCCAACAAGACAAGTCCATGCTTCTGCTGTGGAATGTGGCAAGTTTGAGAGCAAAGAGAAAGCCTGGACAAGCAGTACCTCAGCTTTCAACCCTTTACTTACTCTTCTTGAGTCATTGAAGAGGCAAATGTTTTGTTGACAAAACTCTCACAAACAAACTGCGGGCAGGAAGTTTTCTGCTCTGCACAGATGGGGCAGTGTTCAGGAAAACACAGGTCGTTGAGTAATTTCAGTGCCTTCTGGTGAGGCAGGCTCTGCCACACGCTGCAGTTCAGGGCTGCGTAGAAAATGGCCACCAGCCACTTGGTGTTGACTCTGATTTTCCCTGCACAGCATCCAAAATCAAATGTCAATAAGCAATGTGCATACAGGTGTAAGAAGATGTTTCAATCTCATGCTCCTGTAAAGAATCGCATTAGCAATCACATCCGGTTTATCTGGAAACTATGGTTTAGGATCATTTTAGGTGAGGCATGCTGAAATGAGTAGTAATAAGCCTAGTATAGCTTATATTTTCTGTAGCATATTCCCTTCAAGTAAGCAGGAGCCCTTTACAAGCTGCATGTAAAGCCATGTAAGGATTCGGTCTAATGGCTACCATGAAGTAAGAGCACTGCAGCTGTTTTAAGAGCGTTCAGCAATGCAGGAATTAAGTAGCACATAATGAAATTGTGGTGGACAGAGGTCGCAGCTGGTAATTGCCAAGCTGGCAATACGAAGGGTATGAAACAGAAATAGAAGTTCTGCCTGAGGCATGAGAGAAAGATTTTGGACAAGACGCTTGCTCAGAAAGCAGATCTCATAGTTTTAGCCTCTGAACATCAGAGCTACTATTGTTTCACCAAGGA